TTTAATTTAAGAAAAAGTTTTTTAAACCAAACCTTTTGTTTTAAAAAAAAGAAATCATTACAATTCCAAAAGTTTTGATTACAATTTTATTTTCCTTAACAGAGGTTATTTAATTTTTTCATTGAATAATTCCATCCATCCATTTTCTAACATCCTTGTCCTTTAGTGGGGTTGGGAGGGTTGCTAACGTTCCGGGCGAGAGGCGGGGTACACCCTGGAAGGTTGCAAGTCTGTCGCAGGGTAACACAGAGGCAGACAGGAAACACAACCATGCACACACACACTCACATCTAGGAAGAAATTAGAGAGGCCAATTAACCTGACAGTCATGTTTTTGAACTGTGGGAGGAAGCCGGAGTACCCGGAGAGAACTCACGCATGCACAAGGAGAACATGCAAACTCCATGCAGAAAGACCCCGGGCCTGGAATCAAACCCAGAACCTTCTTGCTTGAATAATTGTGAAACAAATTTAACTTCATACTCTGCGAACCAGACCCTAAACTTAAAGTCTGGATTGAGTTTTTTCCCCTTCATTAATGACACGCTTTTATTGGACAGGAGCAGCTTGATTGATTATTACATACATTTATATCTATAATGGTAGTTCAGGGTGAGTTATTTTTAATTCTTAATGAATATCCTTGTTGGACTTTTATTTAAGTGCTGTTCTCCTTCAAGATACATTTACCCAACACTAGAATAAATACAATGTACATTATGCAACAAAGGAAATTAGAAGACATATGTCCGTCATGTGTCACGGGAAAATGGTCAAAGGTAACAAGCTGACCGGAGGGCTTATTACCAAATAAGAGGGCTTATTTGTATTTATTTTTTTTTGTCAGAAGAGGGCTTCGGAAATAATACAAAAAAAATAAAAAAATAAATAAATACAAAATAAAAATTTGACCAAAAGGACACTTGAGGGCAAGGAGCAAAAGGGGCAGGTGCTCAACCCCCCCCCCCCTCTGCACGTGCCTGCCAGTACCCCATACTCCCAGAGGACCCCCCACAGGGCACCCCGAGGGACGCAGTCTAACGCCTTCTCCAAGTCCACAAAACACATGTAGACCAGTTGGGCGAACTCCCATGCACCCTCCAGGACCCTGCTGAGGGTGTAGAGCTAGTCCAGTGTTCCACGACCAGGACGAAAACCACACTGCTCTTCCTGAATCCGAGGTTCGACTATACGACGGACCCTCCTCTTCAGGACCCCTGAATAGACCTTACCAGGGAGGCTTAAGAGTGTGACCCCCCTGTAATTGGAGCACACTCTCCGGTCCCCCTTTTTGAACAGGGGGACCACCACCCCAGTCTGCCAATCCAGGGGAACTGCCCCTGATGTCCATGCGATATTACAGAGTCGCGTGAGCCAACACAACCCTACAACATCCAGAGCCTTAAGGAACTCCGGGCGGATCTCATCCACCCCCGGGGCCCTGCCACCGAGGAGCTTTTTGACCACCTCGGCGACCTCGTCCCCAGAGATTGGAGAGCCCAACCCAAAGTCCCCAGGCTCAGCTTCCTCAACAGAAGGCATGTTGGTGGGATTGAGGAGGTCTTCTAAGTATTCTGCCCACTGGCCCACAACGTCTCGAGTTGAGGTCAGCAGCACACCAACTCCACTATAGACAGTTTTGGTGCTGTACTGCTTCCCCCTCCTGAGACTCCGGAAGGTGGACCAGAATTGCCTCAAAGCCATGCGGAAGTCTTTCTCCATGGCCTCTCCAAACTCATTTTTGCCTCAGCAACCACCTGAGCCGCATGCCGCTTCGCCTGCCGGTACCCATCAGCTGCTTCTGGAGTCCCACAGGCCAAAAAGGCCCAATAGGACTCCTTCTTCAGCCTGACAGCATCCCTCACCGAAGGTGTCCACCAAGAAAGATCTAAGTGCAGAAATATCGGAGAGAGAGAGTTGGAAAGAGCCATCAGATCCCTCCACGGAGAGAAAGCAATGGGCCCCGATGGCTTCGGAATTCTACAAAGTATTTATGGATCTGCTTGTCAATGCCCTAAGAGGAAACAGGACTAAATTTGATATTTTATTCCTTAAAAATAAAATGATAAGCAAAAAGGTTTTGGAGACAACATGTCTGCTCATCTTTTAAGCTCATTACTGTGAGTAAAATTCTGAAGAATACAATTAAACTGTTCATTTTGAATTATGTTTTATTCATATCAATAGTTGTCTCACTCTTGTGTGATAGACTTCTCCTTGTCTTTCTGTTTCCCCTAGCTGAGAGAGGGCAGTCACATCTGGAAGATGCATATGGTGAAAGGTCATGAGGGTCTTGGAATACAAATAACAGGGGGACGTGGCTCCAAGCGCTCTTCTCATGGAATTATTATCACTCATATAGAGAAAGGGGGTGCTATTCACAGGTAACAGTAATTCCAAATAATTTGTAAATTGTTCCATACACATGTAATATGAGTTTTCATGACAAATTCTTGATGAATAATGTAAAATCTAAAAGTTCTTTAAACTGACAAAAAATGTCCCATTTATATTGGAGTTAGGGACATTAAGTTGTACTACTACTACTGCGCCACTGTGCAACCCCCCTTGTCCCTAGTGGGGTTAGGAGGGGTGCTGGTGCCTATCTCCAGCGAACATTTCAGGCGAGAGGCGGGGTTCACCCTGGACAGGTCACCAGTCTGTCGCAGGGCAACACAGAAACAGACAGGACAAACAACCATGCACACACACATTCGCACCTAGGGAGAATTTAGAGAGACCAATTTACCTGACAGTCATGTTTTTGGACTGTGGGAGGAAGCCGGAGTACCCAGAGAGAACCCATGCATACACAGGGAGAACATGCAAACTCGGTGCAGAAAGACCCTGGGCCGGGAATCGAACCCAGGACCTTCTTTGAACCTAGGAAGTTGCACAGTGTTACCTTCTGCGCCACTGTGCAACCCCAAATGTTAAATATCAAATTTATAATTTATCATCCATGCCATAATTGTCTGGTTTACACTACCTATAATTGTGCCAATGTCATTTTCAGATATTTATATCGTCAAGTAAAAAATAATCAATATACAACCTTTTTCAGTAAATATTTTAATTATTTACACTTTTAAATTAATTCAGTTAATATCACTTCACTATTGTACAATTGTACAATTTTTAAATAAACATAAGCCATTGAAAAATGTGTGTAATGTTTGTAATTTTCATATGGGTTTAGTTATCACATACAAATATTTATTTAGCATAGTTTTAAGTATCAAATTGTGTGAAACTCTTTGTTTTAGCCTAATTTTTATTGAAGAAATTGTGCCACTGCAAAAGTGAATCCTCACTATTTTCATTCAAGAAAAATGCATGTTTGTATGAGTTTCAGGGATGGACGTCTTCATGTTGGTGATGAATTGCTGATGGTTAATGGTCAGTCTCTAGTGGGTCTCACACACCAAGAGGCTGTTTCCTTTCTTCGCTCCACTACTGGTCTTGTCCAATTGGTGGTATCAAGTCAGGTAAATGCATGCACTCACACAAATATAAATTAACACACACACACACACACACACACACACACTTTGCTTAGGTGACTGCTTGGGGATGACACACTCATTACACATCGAGTCATTTAGACCAGTGGTTCTTAACCTGGGTTCGATCGAACCCCAGGGGTTCGGTGAGTTGGTCTCAGGGGTTCGGCGGAGCCTCTGCTGCAGAGGTAAAGACAGTTGTGTAAACTTGTGATGACGCCCCATTTTGCCATCACTTGCTGCAAAGGATCACGTTACATTGCTTAGCCAATCAGTGCTGCGGAGGAGCACGTACCCCCCCTCCCCTCAACAGTTTCCAGCAGCGCAGGCGATATTTTACTTATTAGAAGGGTTCAGTGAATGCGCATATGAAACTGGTGGGTTTGGTACCTCAAAAAAGGTTAAAAACCACTGTTTTAGACTGGTCATTGTTAGAATAACCAGTCAGTCATGTCTAATCAGCGGACGCACTCATGGCTGCGTGCACCCGCTGATACTTTTGGGGGTACGCAGTACCCCTCCGTACCCCCTTACTTTCACCCCTGTCTCTAACTCCAATATGAATGGGAAAAAAATTTTTTGTGTCATTTTAAAGCACTTTTAGATAGTGGAAAATGGTAAAAGATGTTTTATTTTCCAGGTCTACACAATAAAGTGCTGATTTCAGTGTAAAAAAGCATCTCCCGAGAAGCAGCATTCTTGATACAGACAGGAAAATAGAATTTTCTTTGGAGATTAGACATTTGTTGAGGTCATAATAGGAAGTGGGGAACCTTGAAAAGAACGTGTTAGATGCTATGATGGTTTGTGCTGTCTGAAAGTCAAAGTAGTAGAACCATGTTGATGTACATACAGTAAAACAAACCAGTGGTGGAAATTAGCACCCGCCACTGGCTAAATGCGGGTAGAAGTATGAAGTGGCGTGTAAATTGGAGCATCGGACACTGTAGCGAGTTGACAATTTGAACAGTTAAAAAAAGCTGCATTCAGTTTGAACTTCTGCCCAGGGGAGGACTGACTGTGTGGAGTACAGACTGATGCACATACTGTATATGGGACGGACTTAGGCTGTCACAATTTAACAAAAAAAAAATCAAATATAATTTTTATCGACAAGGACAGCCCAGGTCGATGTTTTTTGATGAACATTGGGCTTATCCAGTGAAATTCCTCAGTCCTCCTTGGCCCGCCTCTCTCTACCGAGACACTTTCAAAATGTTGAATTTAACTCTGTAGGATTTGACTGAACACTTCCAAATTTGCTGTGTA